GCTTCATAAATGTACTGCAACAAACTGCACATTGTGTAAGGTTCATTGATTATGCAGCCTATACACCAGTGCATATATATACACACACACACACACACACACGCACACACATGCACATACACACAAACACACACGCCAGTTTGAGTGGTTTGAGTGTTCAGACACTGGGAGACCAGAGTTCGAATCCGTGCTTGGCCATGGAAACCCACTTGGTGGCCTTGGACAAATCACATGCTCTCAGCCTCAAAGGAAGGCAATGGTAAATCCCTTCTGAACAAATCTTACCAAGAAAACCCCACAATAGGATTGCCTTAGTCTGACCATAAGTCAGAAACGGCTGGAAGTCAAACAACAACAAATGTGCTTACTATAGTGGTTTGGGTGTTTGACTACGACTCTGGAGACCAGGGTTTGATTCCCAGTTTGGCCATGAAACCCACTGGGTGACTTTGGGCAAGTCACACTCTCTCAGCCTCAGAGGGAAGGCAATGGCAAACCTCCTCTGAACAAATCTTGCCAAGAAAATCCCATGATATAAGTCAGAAATGACTTGAAGGCATACAATAACAACAATATTGGATGTACCACATCTCCTCAACTGGGGGCTGACTCAGAAGGAGAGGATGAAATTGTTGTTGTTGTTATTTTGACTTGGACCTATGACTATGAATGAGAAGTCTCCAAGGTCCTTAGTCATCAACTGCCCTGCTCAGGTCTTGCAAACTCAAGGCAGTCATGGCGTCCTTTAGTGAACGGATCCACCTGTATTTCGGTCTCTCTTTTCTATTGCCTTCCACTTTACCAATCATTACCATCTCTTGCATTGCTGTTTCTAATGAGACTTGAGTCTTGAACTCCGAAGCCTGCACTCTCACTAGAGTTTGTACTATTTAAATCACACTCACTTAGTACAAAGGAGCAACTTCAAAGCTTCAGTTGTGTATCTTCAGTCCTTTTGATAGCAGATACTTCCCTCCATGTTATTTAGATTTAAATAGTTGAAGGTACTGAAAGATCTTAACATAATTATGCCTAAAGAGCTGTGCAACTAAATATATGCACTTTGCCTGGGGAAAAAAACAACAGGCTAATTAAAATGTTGCATTTAGATTATTCTAATATCCTATGCATTCCAGTCTATTGCCATTAGGGATGCAAATCTTCATAAATTTCATTCATGTGGGCAGTGGTAAATGTTAACTATTTTGCTCCATCCTGCAAGAATGTCCTAGAAAACTGTCCAGTTTTTGAAGACTATTTGCAATCTTCCTATTCTCTCTCTCTTTCTACCTCTTCTCTCTCTTCCCTCATCTCCTTCGAAGCTTCCTACCTACTCCTACCTTCTCACATTCTCTTTCCTTCTATATCACATATTCTCACTTTCTACACGTTCTTCTCTCACTCTCTTGGAAAATATTTCAACCCTCATCACTCCTTGGTGACTACATTTATCACTTGCCTAAGGCCACCTAGTTGTTTTCGAAACCTGGTCTCTGAAGTTGTAGCCCAATGCTCAAACCACTACACCACAATGGCTATCTAATCCAGCCAAGATAATCACTCCTAAATCCTATGAAATTAGTGGGATTTAAAAATGCTTAACTTAAAAATGCTAAGCTGTACCATTTTTTACTCTCCCTCCTCCACTCTTTCCGGTTGCATAGCATTGCTATTCCTCCGACAATATTTTGTGTTCCTCTCCCAAGTGTTATCTAAGGTAAAGAATATAAGTAGTTTGTACCAACTACTTAAAAGTTTTTGTTTCCTTTCTTTCTACAGCTACCGTTCGAACTAGAGGTGTACTACATCCAGCACGTCATGCTGTATATTGTTCCCATTTATTTGCTGCGGAAAGGAGGTATGTGCTATGTGTATATAGTGTTTTGGTTTAAGGCAGGGCTGGGCAACTGGGGGAAGATAGGGGACTACATTGGCCCTCTAAGAAAGCTTGGTTGGCTGCATCCCCCTGGAATTAATAATAATAATAATAATAATAATAATAATGACAGTGTGGCATAGTGATTTCAGCATGGCCCACAACTCTGGAGACCAGGTTTGGATTCCCAGCTGGACCACTGGGTGACTTTGGACAAGTCACACTCTCTCAGCCTCAAGGGAAGGCAATGGCAAACCTCTTCTGAACAAATCTTGCCAAGAAAACCCCATGATAGGTTGGCCTTAGGGTTGCCAAAAGTTGGAAATAACTTGAAGGAACACAACAACAACAAAGACAGATAGATAAAGATATGTATATTGCCCTAAAATGCCTACAAGCCCTCTTCAGGGTGCATGTAGGGCCTTTTTGCCATATTTTTGGCCCCCTGGGGACCTTTTAAGGCTCAGAGGAGGCCATGTTTTACAATGGAAAGTGGTCAGACATCACTTCCTGTTGCAAAATATGGCCTCTCCTGGTTCTTAAAAGTCACGTCTTGTTCCCACAATAAATTTTCTTTCAGTTCCCAGAACATGGAGGTGTCTCATTGATTTGTTGTTGTTAACTGCCCTCGAGTCAATCTTGACCCATGGCGACCCTATGGATGAGATATCTCCAAGAAGACCCTCTGTCCTCCTCTGCCCTCTGCTCTGCTTAATTCCTGCAATCCCTTAATTGGGTAGGGAATAATGGCCTCCTTAATAGAGTCCCTCCATCTGTCCTGTGGCTTTCCTCTCTTCCTATTTCCTTCTTCCTATTTCCTTCTACCTTTCCCAGCATTATTGTTTTCTCCAAAGAGTCTTCTCATGATGTGTCCAAAGTACAACAGCCTCAGTTTGGTCATCTCGGTCATCTCATTGATATAAGATGAAGTTGACTTGATGGCAATGAAGAAAAAGAAGAAAGAAAGAAAGAAAGAAAGAAAGAAAGAAAAAAAGAAGTAACCTACCCCACCCCAAATTTATAGTCTTCACCTAAAAATAGTTAAATGTATGTCTAAAATATGAAGCATCAATATGGAATCGTGGGGTATATGTGTGTCCCTTCAAATTGCTTGTCACTTATAGTGACCCCATGGATTGTGTTTTAGGATTTTCTTAGGCAAGGAATATTCAGAAGTCGTTTTGCCAGCTCCTTCCTCTGAAATGTAGCCTACAGCACCTGGGATTCATTGACAGTCACCCATCGAAGTACTAACCAGGGCTGACCCTGCTTAGCTCCCAAGATCAGCCTAGATCCAATGTCTTTGTTTAGGGCATTTAGGCTACCCTGGATTAAATCCAACTGTGTATCCCAACTTTGGTCTGATGGAGCAGGGCAATTCTAGAAGCGATCAAGATATTTCGTCTTCCTATTGGTTTACAGTCGTCTGCTGTCCTCTAGTGGTGGCCTGACAACAGTGAACTACCTTTGCAAAACAGAAAACATGGCACCATTAAGGTTTATTGTTGTTGTTGTGTGCCTTCAAGTTGTTTCTGACTTATGGCACCTCTAAGGCAACCCTATCATGGGGTTTTCTTGGCAAGTTTCTTCAGATGGGGGTTTGTAATTGCCATCCTCTGAGAGAGTGTGACTTGCTCAAGGTCACCCAGTGGGTTTCATGGCTGAGCGGGGATTTGAACCCTGTTCTCCAGAGTCATAGTCCAACACTCAAAATACTACACCATGACTCTCTAACAGTTGCCAAAGTGGCAACGCAAGATCTGCAGCATGCTTCCCATTTCTAACCCTCCTACATGCATTGTAGCAGACTAAGGAGTGTCACACATTGCAGGATTGTTTCTTGAAAGTGAGGAATTATTCCTGATGGAATAACCTGTTGGAAAGGAGCCAACCAAACTCCAAATCCCATGACTCCATAGGATAAGTCATTGCAGTTAAAAGTGGTGTCAAACTGCTTTAATGCTGCAGTGTAGCTAAACTTCTATATGGACAAATTCTATATATTCTTAGTTGGGAAGTAAGGGTTGCTTTGGCTTGAGTCCTTTCCATGTTCTGATGCAAGTTAGGTCTGAGGCAGGACTGTGTAGTTTTCTCAGCTCACAGTGTTATTTATTATATGTCTTGCTGTTTTTTGTTCACACTCACTTGTGTGAAGGAAGAACTTGGCATCCTAATGGGACCGGCATGGCTGAACTGTAATGCTGTGCTTGTGTTGAGACATCTTCGATGGGGTGAAAGATTTATCTATGGCCAGGAAATACAGGTTGAGTCTCCCTTATCTGAAATGCTTGGGTCCAGAAGTGTTTTGGATTTTAGATTTTTTTTCTTTTTGATTTTGTAATAATTGCATATACATAATGCAGATTTGGGATTTTGGAGATGGGATCCAGGTCTACTATGCATGACATTCATTTATGTTTCATATAAACCTTATATGCCGTTGCTGTTGTATGTCTTCAAGCCGTTTCCAACTTATGACTATCCTAAGGCCATATCATGGGGCTTTCTTGGCAAGAGTTGTTCAGAGGGGGTTTGCCATGGCCTTATATCAACAGACAGTGTTTGTCTGAACAATAAAAACACATCCAGAGTACACTGTGATTCTAGCTAGTCCTAATGCACTGCTGTGTGTGCATGTACCCCAAAATGGTGCAATCCAAAAACACAAGAGAGAGTTAGCAGCTGGCTTGGGGGGAACCCAACATTTTCAGTGATGTTTGTTGCTGTTGTGTGCCTCCAAGCGTCATAGGGTTTTCCTGGCAAGTTTCTTCAGAGGGGGTTTGCCATTGCCATCCTCTGAGGCTGAGAGAGTGTGACTTGCCCAAGGTCACCCAGTGGGTTTCATGGCAAAACTGGGAATTGAACCCTGGTCTCCAGAGTCATGGTCCAACACTCAAACCACTACACCATGCTGCCTCTCATATACTTTACATACATAATATAATATAGATAGCCTGAAGGGAATTTTATACATAATATTTTTTAGTAATTTTATGCATGAAACAAAGTTTGTTCAAACTGAACCATTTGAACAAATATTTGAACAAATATTTGGAGTATTTTGGATTTTGGAATTCCAGATAAGAGGCTCAACCTGTGCTTATTTCATCTTCAGTGGGTTTTGTGGCTGAGCTGGGAACCGAACCCTGATTCCCAGAGTCATAGTCCAGCACACAAACCCCTACGCCACGCTGGCTCACCGACGTATGGTGATCTCATGATTTTCATAAGGTTTTCATAGGCAAAGTATACTCAGAGGTGTTTTTCCAGTTCCTTCCTCTGAAATATAGCTTACAGCACCTGGTGTCCACTGGTGGTCTCCCATCCAGGTACTAACCAGGGTTGATCATGCTTAGCTTCCAAGATCAGACAGGATCCGGTACCTTTTAGGGCATTTAGGTGGCATACAGAGACCATAATATGTCAACATTTTTTTTTTAAACTAATAAAATGCCCATTTTTTGAGCATCTTAAGACATGGCTCCAGTTTCTTCTGTGGCTTTCATTGGATATTCTCCATTTTGTGCTTCTTTGGTTTTCACTGAATTCCAGTCTTACAAAAAACCCCAGTGTTAGAGATGGGAAGGTTTGTGCACACAGGAGAAGAGGAAACATATCTAGAAAATAGAATTGATAGCCAAAGGGATGTGGTTTGAGTTCTTTCTGTTCCCCTCATTGTTTCCATTTCCATCAGTTTCTGTGTTTATTGCTATCTGATCCACAAACAGCTACACACACAGCCTTATCAAAAGAAATAGTTGCTGTCAAGAGATAAGCAAGCACAGAATTTAAGGGAGCAATTTGCTGGTGGAAAAACTAACTTTTGATTTTCTCCTCCACTGAGCTGGGCTGAAACATGGCATTGTTTGCTAGGAGTTCCTTTCTACCAAGCATGCTCAGCTTTGTAGAATATTCTTTGTTATTTTAAAAAAAGGCATATACCTCTCTTGGAAACTAGCTGCAACTTAAGAGACTGTAGGACAACTTTCTAGAAGCCTAAATACCCTAAAGGTAAAAGTTCCCCTCTTGCAAGCTAAGCAGGGTCAGCCCTGGATAGTACTTGTATGGGAGATTGCCAATATAATGCTGTTGTAGGCTATATTTCTAAGGAGGGAACTGGCGAAACATCAGAAAGAAACTCTTCTAGAACATGGCCACACAGCCTGAAAAACCCACAAAAAACTCACCTCTGAGTATTTCTTGCCTAAGAAATCCAGCATGATGTAGTGGTTTGAGCATTGGACTACAGTTTGGGAAATTAGGGTTTGATTCCCCGTTCGGCCATAGAAACCCACTGGGTGACTTTGGGCAAGTCACACACTCAGCCCTAGAAAACCTCACGCTTTGGAAATGACTTGAAGGTACACAACAACAACAAACCCTGTGAGATTCATGGGCTTGCCATAAGTTGGTAGGCAACTTGAAGGCACACACACACACTAGAAAGCTATGCACAAGCTGTCAAACGGCTGCTTGGAAGTCTGATTTAATGTAGAAAGAAAATGCCCTTTGCAAAGAGCATGAGAACCCAGCTGAGTTAGATAAAAGTCCAGCATTTTGTTTCCCTTGGTAGCCAAGCAGATGCTTCTGGGAAACTGACAGGGAGGACATATTAATGGTCTGTCCTTTTCTCTTTCCCATCACCCTACCCAAAAGCAATTCAGCAGTGCCTGCCTCTTGGAAAAACAGGCATTAAGAATATGTTTAGCTCCTCTGCAGTCTCCCTGCCTCCTTTGTTATGGGTGCGAGGTACATGTGTGTATGTATGTATTAAAGAGAGTACTGAAAAGCATATTAAATGCAGAAGGTAGTAAGGAGACAAGCTCCATGTGTTCTGAAATGGTCAACTGTTTATTCCTTTTTTAAAATACTAAAAAGGAATCAACTGTTGTCCATCTCAGACCATGTGGAGCTTGTCTCCTTATTGCTTTCTCTCTGTGTGTGTGTATGTCTGGAGATGGCTTGTATATTGCCAAAAAGTGGGAGACGCATCTCGGGATGCTAAGGAGATGGTCCACATATAAAAAGCCTGATGCATTTTGGAATTTGAATGTTCTTTAGAACTTTTCTTCAGGGAGTTACTTCAGATCAAAGCTGCAGAAATTTCTGGGCCAGAAAGCACTTATGACAGAATGAAAGACAGAATTAATGGAAAGAGCGTTTACAGGCTGAAACACTGAACTTTTCAGCAAATAAAGACCCGTCCTTTTAGCAGCCTCAAATGTCTCTCCCTGTGTGTATGGGCCTTCAAGTCTTCTGTCAACTCATGGCAACCCCATTAATTTCATAGGATTTTCTTAGGCAAGGAATACCCAGAGGTGGTTTGCCATTTCCTTCCTCTGAAATGCAGCCTACAGCAGCTGGTATCCCCTGGTGGTCTCCAGTCCAAGTGCTATCCAGGGCTGAACCTGCTTAGCTTCCAAAATCAGACAGGATTTGGTATCTTCAGGGTATTTCAGCCTAACCTGAGATATGTCTCCTTTTATTTTGTGGATCTCATTGGATGCTTGCTACTTTTTCATTTTTGGTGGGTTATCAGAGTGTCTCTGGGAGTGAGAAGTGAGGTCCTTCCCCCCCCTTTCCTATTGCACTCTCTCCAAGGTTGATTCTTCTTTATTTATATTATACAAATTTTAATTGTTGTTAGCTGCCTCGATTGTGTTCAGAGGGGCGGGGTATAAATAAATTATTATTATTATTATTATTATTATTATTATTATTATTATTATTATTATTATTATTATTATTATTGGATTTCCCAGGTCAGCCAGATTCATCCCAATTGACAGGGAAACAGGCCATGCTTGCTACGTTGTAAGCCTGAATTGGGGAATATTTCTGATCCCTATGTATTCCCTGTATGAGCCAGCATGGCATAGTGGTTTGAGCATTGGACTATGACTCTAGAGACCAGGGTTCAAATCTTTGCTTGGCCATGAAAACCCACTGGCTGACCTTGGGCATGCCACACGCTTTCAGCCTCAGGGGAAGGCAATGGCAAGTCTCCTCTGAACAACTCTTGCCAAGAAAGCCCCATTATAGGTTTGTCTTAGGGTCACCATAAGTCAGGAATGACATGAAGGCACACTGCTACAACAATGGTATTCCCAACACTATTGAATATAAATCAGTTACTCATATGTAATGCTAGGTTACACATTCGTAGCAATGATTGTGAATTCCAGCCAGTGTTCTTGTTCTTGCTTCTCCTTCAAGGAAGGAGGAGGGAGTCCAACTCCCTCTCAGCTGGCTAAAGAATGGGTCCAAACCAGTCTCTCCTTGGCCATAATGTGGCCAAGGGGGCCCTCCTTCGGCTATCTGCATTATAATAGAATCAAAGAATCATAGAATCATAGAGTTGGAAGAGACCCCAAGGGCC